TTTCATTTATCTTGTGATAAATTTTGGTAATACAATGCTAATCACTGAGTGCACCAGGCATTTAGAGAATATAAATTATCTTGTTTTGAGTTATATAGGCTAAACGACATTTGTTGAATAAGATATACAATAATTTCTGTTTTCTCCTCATTACATGCTTAACACAGAACCTGGCAAATAGTAAATGATTTGCAAATGTTAACTAAGATTATTTTTACTGCAACCTGAGCACTTCCTGTGGTTGGACTGAGGGACATCTGTATTAGGATGGTTTTTGCTAAGTCCAATTTTATTTCAAGGTCTGGAAAAAATGCTGTTAGGTTACTTTCTTTCAGATGTCACTTTCAGTAAGCTTTCTTCTCTCCCATTGTTGCTGACATGATTGTGCCGACTGTCAGTCAACAACCTTCCTTATACAATCACTAGGTGTCAAACACGGAGGGGCTCCCGGGATTTCAGCATTACACGAAAGCCTAGATTCCAATGTGTCCCAGTTTTTACTAAAAACAGCAAAGTAATGTTGTGGAAAGAAACAGTGAATTTGATAGATGGAGAAAATGCAAACTGGGCAGAATTTTTTTCCTCAATATCCATTTTTGAAGCCCAAGCAGTACAATATTATGAAAATACCATTCTGCCTCATAACACGATTACCTCTAAAAATAGTAGAAAATCCCTTCATTGTAACTTGCCAAAGTATAGTGAGCAAGGAAGAATGCTTCACTTGGTAATGGACTCCTTATTTTATGGTTGAAAGTTTGCATTCATTCATCCAATAATTCTAGAAAATCTCAGTCTTGGAATTGTGCCTCTTTTATATTTGTTCTATCACATCTTTCTAGTACATTTTATGTCTCGTTCATATATTCTACCTACTGTGTTTCTTAATCCTTGATTAATCCTTAGTTAATCCTTGATTCTTTATTTGGATCTATCTTCCAGTTCTCTAATTCTCTCTTTGGCAATATTAATATATTACTTAATCTATCTCTTCCAAAATATAATTCTTTCTTCAGTTGCATTTAATCTGTTTTTTAATCCACATATTAATGCATTTCTAGAAGTTCTACTGGCTTCTTTTTCAAATTTACTTGGTCTTTTGTTATGGTCCCTTGTTTCTTCCTCAAGAGAAGATACACTGTATCTCAAAAAGAGGATATGCTCAATCTTCTCATTTATTTCTGCAAGAATATTAAATATATGATTTTATATTTTGTGTTTGATAATTTCAATATCTGAAGTCTTTGCATGTCATACTTGGCTATCTGTTGTTTCTACAATTGTCTCTCATGATACCTTCCTACTGTGTGGACTTTTGATTTGGGGCTGTGAATTCATGTTCCCTGAAGCTTTATTTGTGAGAATTTTTTTGCGATTGAGACAAAGCTGAGTTTTTCCAGACCCTTGTCTGTGCTGGCTTTATCAAAGTTCAGACATCCTGTGAGGACTCCTGGGAGTCAGGCTACTGGCTTGACTTATTTATTTTCAATAGCATTTTGAGATATGGGTTACATACCATAAAACCTATCTAAGTTTAACTTTATTTTTGTTCAGAGTTTTACAAGACTGTTGATGTATGGAGTAAAATCTAGAATGTGACAGACTAAGGAAAAACTGAATGTACTCAGTGAGGAAGGAAAGGGAGGAGATGAATTATTCTGATGAAAAGAAGGGATCAGACAAGCAAAATGACTCAGGTGTTAGTAAGATAAGGAATTACTCATTAGAAATATGGTTAAAGGACCATTATACTGTACATCTGAAGCTAGTATAAAATAATATTGAATGTCAACTGTAACTGAAAAACAAACAAACAAACCCACAATAGCACGCACCCCTGGAACCCAGGCTTTCTAGTTGGTCTTCTATGGAGCAGAGCAAAAGAGAGCGCTAAGGAATTGAGGCTTAAGTTCAAGCTCCAAGAAAACACAGGGACATTTTTGCACAATAATCATAAACTGGCTGCATAAACCCTCATGAAAGGGGGGGCGGGGGAAGAAATGTGGTTAAAGGAAAACATAAGTAGAATACGTAGAAGAGGGCCAGAAAATTTTATTTGGTTAATTCCCACTCCTAATTCAGGTGGCTTTGTGAAGGCCAATTCCTCCTGGAAGCCATCCTTGATCTCTCTCAATCTGGCTTAGGGGTTCCTGCAATATAGTCCCAGAGCTCTCTATAGTTTTTCAATTAGAGTAGCTACCATAATGTGTTCTAATTACTTAATTTTTTTTTGAGGCTTATTGTAGA